GCAGCAGGGACGGCCGCTGTAAAATCTAACTCAAAATCTCAACCATCATTAGACAACAACCCTCTTTCCTCAATGGTAAAAATTAAAGCGACGCTCCGTTGCGGGTTGCGGGGTATATAAGAGTAGCGAGGCGTGTGTTAAGAGTTCAGTTCTGAGTCACGAGCCAGGCAGTGTATCAGTCGTTGGGTGTCCTGACCAAGTTGGTGGTCGATGTAGTGTTGCAGTGCTAGGCGAAACTGCCACGGGAAACGCCGAAACGTACGCTTACGAACAACCGGATTTACAAGTACAACCCGAGATAAGCTTTACTAAAGGATTTTGAATAGACCCGGTAACACCTACATACAACCCTTGGCAAAAATTATGGAATTACCGGCCTCGGAGGATGTTCATTCAGTTGTTTAACTTAATAGTAAAAAAAACAAATCACAGACATGACACAAAACTAAAGTCATTTCAAATGGTAACTTCCTGGCTTTAAGAAACACTAAAAGAAAAAAAAATTGTGCAGTCAGTAACGGTTATTTTTTTAGACTCAATTCAGAGGAAAAAATTATGGAATCACCTTGTAAATTTTCATTCCCAAAACTAACACCTGCATCAGATCCACCCCATCTGTCGTCTACCTTTTGCGGTTATTGCCGGTATGTGATCACCAAAATTGACCTGATTGTTCATCAACACTCCTAGATCGCGAACGAGTCGCTTCTCTTCGATTTCCGAGTTGTCAGGTGCCAGGTAGCGGTGATCCATTCCAGCTCTTCCGGTTCCTCTGTACCTCAGGACCTCAAACTTGGTCCCATTGAACTGCATGTTGTTCACTAGGGCCCAGTCATATATTGCAGAGAGGTCTTGCAACCTCTCACTGTCCGTCCTGTCATTAATATCCTGGTGTCGTCCGCGAATGACGATGCAGTGGCGTGGTTCACTGCCACATCTATGTCGGCGATGTGCATGAAGAAGAGAATTGGGCCGAGTACCGTTCCCTGTGGAACTCCACTCTTCACCCTAGCCACGCTCGATCTCGAGCCTCCAACAACTACAGCTTGTACTCTTTCTGTTAGGAAGCTGTGGATCCATGCCAGCAATTCACCTCCGGTTCCCAGCAGTCTTAATTTTCTGAAGAGCACTCCATGGTCGACTTTGTCAAACGCTTTCGCGAAGTCCAAAAACACCACGTCCACCCCAGCCCCCTCCTCCAGCATGGCCAGGATTTGGTGGTGATGCTCCAGTAACTGAGACAAACAGGAACGATTTCGTCTAAAACCGTGTTGCCTTCTGTTGAAAAGGTCAGCGTCTTCCACGTACTGCACCAACTTTCTGGCAACAACCTTCTCAAATACTTTGATTACGTGTGATGTTAATGTAACCGGCCTGTAATTTTGGGGTTTGTCTCTTGCGCCTCCTTTGTAGATAGGGGTAATTAGCCCTAATTTAAGGTCACTTGGAACATTTCCTTCTCTCAATGATGTTTTCCAGAGCAAAGTCAGAGGGACCTTTAGTGCACCGACACATTTTTTCAGTAATACTGCAGGGACCCCATCTGGCCCGGGAGCCGAATACGTAGATAATTCTTGGAGATTCCTCTCTAGATCCGGTGTTTCAAACTCAATGTTCATCAGCTCCCGATCCCCTGGAAGTTCTTGAATGACTCCAATTTCGTTATTATGCCTTGAGTATCGGGGCTCGCTGAATACTTTTTCAAATTGAGCTCCCAGAAGTTCGCACATGCCCTTGTCGTCTCCAACAAGTACATCGTTATATTTCAGAGGCCCCACCGAGGCTCTGATTTTGGCCTTTGACCGGGCATATTTGTAGAAATATTTGGGATTCTCTCAAATGGCAGACACCGCTCGCGCCTCTGCAATTTGTTGCTCGACCTCGTGTGAGTCCTGCAACTGTCGTTCAGTTTCCTTAATTTTAACCTTTAGATGTTCCAGCCTCTGCCTCTCTATATTCATGGAGGCAGCCGTTATCTGGTTGTTCAAGCTCGCTCGTTTTCTCATGAGGTTCCGTCTGTCCCTCGGAATTATATGGCGTTTGGGGGTCGTTTTTTCCGGCGTGTGACGCACGCATACCTGCAGTAATACTTCGCACAGTTTGTGGATGAAAGTCATATTCAGTGATGAATCTCGAATCTGCATTGGGCAAGGTGATGATGCTGGAACTTTTGTTTGGTGCTGTTCCAGTGAGATTTGTAAAGATGACTGCCTTAAGAGAACATGCAAATTTCCACAGTCATTGATGATATGGGGCTGCATGTCAGGTAAAGGCACTGGGGAGATGGCTGTCATTACATCTTCAATAAATGCACAAGTTTACGTTGATATTTTGGACACTTTTCTTATCCCATCAATTGAAAAGATGTTTGGGGATGATGAAATCATTTTTCAAGATGATAATGCAACTTGCCATGGAGCAAAAACTGTGAAAACATTCATTGAAAAAAGACACATAAGGTCAATGTCATCGCCTGTAAATAGTCCCGGATCTTAATCCAATTGAAAATCTTTGGTGGAAGTTGAAGAAAATGGTCCATGACAAGGCTCCAACCTGCAAAGCTGATCTGGCAACAGCAATCAGAGAAAGTTGGAGGCAGTGCATGATGAAGAGAACTGTTTGTCACTCATTAAGTCCATGCCTCAGAGACTGCAAGCTGTTATAAAAGCCAGAGGTGGTGCAACAAAATACTAGTGATGTGTTGGAGCGTTCTTTTGTTTTTCATGATTCCATAATTTTTTCCTCAGAATTGAGTGATTCCATATTTTTTCCCTCTGTTTGGTCTAAAAAAATAACCGTTACTAACTGCACATTTTTTTTATTGATTTCTTATAGTGTTTCAAAGCCAGAAAGTTGCCATTTGAAATGACTTAAACAGTTAAACAACTGAACAACTTAAGTTAAACAACTGAATGAACATCCTCCGAAGCCGGTGATTCCATAATTTTTACCAGGGGTTGTAAATGCACTTCAGCAAAAATTTCGGAAGCTATAACAGTGCCCGAATTGAAACAACGACGATTTTCTAGGTCTAGAGTCTAGACGACTCGAGTTGATCAGCTAATGATGAGAGAACACTAGAGAGTCCATGTTCTAGCATTGTTTCGACTCAGCCGTTTTCGGATCTCCAGTCCCGGGAAGTGACTTCACCAGCACAGCCGCACCAAGAATTCCATCGAGGAGATGCCAACAAGGATTCACTGATAACTACGGCGGAGCAAGTTACGGCGAAGTCGACCTGCTCTCAGTACACGGATTTACTAGTAACTACGGGGAGCAAGTTACGCTGGAGTCAACCAGCCCTCAGGATCCCGGATATTGTCTCCGTCTCAAACCCGGTGATGTACCAGTTGCGAAACTTAAGTTAGGCAAGTTCTTATATTTGACGCTGTCCGATTTATGTACTTAGGCCTGTGTCTGATTTATTCTATTATAGGTCGTGTTAAATCTTTCTATGTGTTGGTATTCTTCCTTTTGTTAACTGTGATCGTGAACCGGTACGTGCCATTACAGCCACGACGGCCCATCACACCTGACAAATAAATCTATCGAATTATTCTAGAGAGAAAAATCGAAATAAAATAGTATCAAATAACAGAACCCAACTTTAAACTTGATCAATACGAGGACGTGTTCGAATGATAAGTTCGCAGGTAAATTTCTAGCTTTAGATTGTGGCTAGTACCAAGCTCCGATCGATTTTGGTAACTTAAAAATATTTTGTTATGCATTGCAGTAATAATATTGTAGCTACCTGGGTAAAGAGCTACGTCTACTTCGTAAAGATTATTTTTGTTATTTTGGTACACATGCTGGGTTTTGCCTTCACACATTGAGTTATGGTTCCAAATATTTGGTTGGCTTATTTGGAGGTTACTATGATGGCTGCTATGTAGGTTACTATGATGGCTGCTATGTAGGTTACTATGATGGCTACTATGTAGGTTACTATGATGGTTACTATGTAGGTTTCTATGGTGGCTACTATGTAGGTTACTATGATGGTTACTATGTAGGTTTCTATGATGGCTACTATGTAGGTTACTATGATGGTTACTATGTTGGTTACTATGATGGCTACTATGTAGGTTACTATGATGGCTTCGTCTACGAAGTTCACTATAATGACTTCTCCTCCACGAACCCACTCATTTTTTTGCTCACGGAAATGTTCGTTGGTTGCATTACGCGTCTTACTTTTTGCGGCAGAAAATTTTAAGGCCACTGAGACAGCCCGACTTTTCCTTGAAATGAACACATAACTATTCCGACGCTCAAATTAATTTAAGTGACACAGTGGATAATATCTCTCGTCTCAGGAATGATAATATATGTATAATCACCGAATATCTATGTCGAATAATGGCTCTAAAAATTGATGAATTAACAAGCACCGTTAACAAGCACGATTCCTCCGTTATGATATTGTTTTAGTTCGCATAAATGGATTGTTTGTGACAGAAATTGACCTTATACGTCTCCCGATTTCATATCCCTAAATCCTGATATGTGAAAGTAATTTTAAATTTTAATCATGAATTGACGATCATTCAAGTCTAGTCCTTCAAGTCCTTTTCATAGTTTTGTCCATAGGACATTCAAGTCCTTTTTATAGTTTTGAAGTCGATTGAAAATAGAATTTTTTTGCGAGGAAATAAATAACATGATTTTTACCAAAGTATATGGTCCAGCATCCTGAAGGGAATCTGTACCATTTGTTTCGTAAATATTAGTTGAAATTAAAAAAAAAAGATTATCTACAATTTAACCCAAAAACACTTTTTGCAAAAGATTTCACTCGACAAAATATTGTATAGCAAATATCTGGATGCGAATTTTGCCAGCAAGTACAGTTTTCCCATAATATGAGGATCGAGATGTACAACAAAAAATCTCCGGTAATTTATTTTTACGCCAGATATTTTCGCAATTTAAGATAAGCTAGAATACAAGCTTTGTAAAAAACATTTACGTCTTTAGGAAAATAACTTTCTTCACCATCAACACACAAAAAGCAGAATTTTATTTTAATGGCCTTCGTTGCCTCCATAAAGACTCCTATAATATGCGATACATGAAGCATGGTTTTCAAATGCTATCAATATCTCAACTAACGCAACAGTATTATTTTCTCAGCATCGTGAAAACCAAATTATTCGCATTAGCATCGTAAATGTTAACTTGTTTAAACAGGAAAACGAAACAAATGATTCTCATCTGCAGAAATCGCTGGAACAAATTCTTACCAGAAATTCAGACCAATAGGGAAATAACGACGTATACAAGACGTTGTGAGAAATTATCGCAGTCAACATCTGTTACAAGAACATTATTCGGGGACTTTCCTGTTCAAATAATGATCCTCAGCAATTCCCCTCCACAAAAGACCGTGTAAGCGTTCTTCAAAGAAAACAGTTGACTAAACCAAGGATTCTCAATGAATAAACATTTAAAACAAATATAATTGATCAAAAAATACATATAAATTTCCGCAAAAGCCTAACACCGTAAAAACCCTAACCCTACTAAAACGTTTGCCCTAACCGTGCGTTTAAGCATTTAATAATGCACGTCCTAATTAGTCCATAAGTTTCAAGTCCACATATTGAGCAATGGAGCATTTCAGAACGTGACATCTTTCAGAAAATATCAAAATAACGTCTTTGAAATAACTAGCTAAAATAATGAATGTATTAGATGTAAACAAAACTAAACTGTCACACGAAAATAATCAATATAATACGAGTACAAGGCGATTCACTCAATAGAACAATCACAAATAACATCATGATCGAGCTACCTATTAACGCACCTCCACGGCAAGATCACGGTATACAATGATGAGTAAAACGCCTGCTACCGGAGGTCACGGCTAAGGTGATAGAAAACACTAAACGACAAACAAAATTGTGCAACCAATTAGAGTGCAACTTTGGAATTAAATATGCAGACACAAATTAATCTAGATATCTTTAGTAAAATAAATGCGAATATATATCTTCAATACGAGTCTTGAATGCGATAAAGTATACTAAATTAATGAATTCAACAAGCAGTTCTATGTCCTTTTTTGGCACCGGACGCGACGAACTAATTCCGTGTTGTAACCTAAATAATTGGCACACTTTTAAAAACGTGCATAATAGGAGGCTTGTATAGACAGTAAATGTTACAATTGACTAGTCGAACAAGAATAATACTACAAGTAGACGAATAAAAATATCACGTAGGAGGTGTCTCTCAAGGCTTCGGCAACAGTTTGCATAATTTCATCAGTGATAATTGATTATTAAGTTTATCGAAAAATTACCTCTTAGCTCACCTGGAAAATTTCCAGCGGCTATCACGTTTCAGTCCAGTAAATTCGATAAGTCTTTGTAATAAAATACCAAAGGAGATTGATGCTGATGTGATGGATGTGATGGATGCTGATGTGATTGTGCTGATGTGATGGACATTTTCTGTTGACGGAGGGTTATTCAAAGTAACCTGGAGCCTTTAGTTAGGAATATAAGAAATGACAGTGCGTATGTGCATAGAGAAAGGGATCTCATGAAGAGCTCTTTAGCGGAGGTCTGCTGGTATTGATCCTTTCAAGTCGACAGAGACTTTCTTTTGTTCTGCCAGTGAAGTCGATAAAAGGTGATGTGTCTGTGGCACCAGGAAGCGGTCACATAATGTAAAACCCGTTTAAGATTCAATGTAAAGAATTACAACACAAAACATTTCCATTACGTGAAAATTTTCATCGCTATTGAGCCCGTAGAAATGAAAAAGAAATTACATCTGTGCTGCAATATTACAGTTATCGCAGGACTGATATTCCACAACAAACTGAGGCCATTGTGATCGCAATAAATCGCACTTTCCAAACATGTAAAATTCGTTGAAGCAATCTTTAGACATAAATTATTATTGCAGGAAAGTACATCACAGATCCGTTAGGCAAAATTTGTGCAAAGTCAAGAAATTTCGATTGATCGTCTATCGAAATGTGAAGTAATTTTCAAAAACTTAAGGCTAAATAAAGAGGCCAGAAAATACGAAGATAATTATCTTCGTATTCGCATCATTATAATGGTACATTTCGAGCTTAATCAGGAGTAAACGGCCATAAAAAAGTTGATGCAGAAGAAAAAGGGGAGCAAAATTCAACTGAATCTGGAATTATCGAATTGTGAAAATTGTTTGATTCAAATGACATTTTACCCCATCGATACATTTCGTTTGGTACAATTTCTTGGTCAAGGTACACAGCAGTCCAACGATTTTTCTGTGTGCACTAAATTGATCAAGAAATCCTAAATTTGAACCTGCGGAAATAAAAATCCGACGCATCATTAGTTTTGGTGATCTGAGAGATCAGTAAATGCTTTTAAATAGGCTGGAAATCGGTCAATATTATTTTTTTTGCCAATTATGGTTGGGGATTTTAAACATTTAATTACTATGAATAATATTTCTCAAAATTCTTACGCAATTGGAATGAGTTCGGGTTTATCTAACAATCTCACTTAGAAATTACTCACTTCGTTCGATATGGTTTGCATTACCTCACGATTTTTAGCGAAATCAATCATTTATTCGAATATCATGACACGAATTATTTTTGCTGAAACAATCCCTCAATATATTGCAACAGCTATAAAAAAAGAGAGCAAACCATTAGAGCATTTTCATCATACCAATCGGTACCCGTTTAGGACTCAACCCTATCTGGTTCAACAAGCCGCATCCAGAAGATAGGCAGGCGTGTCACGTTGTCCCTGATGAACATTATGGCAGGTTTGTTGACGTTGATACGTCTATGTCCTCCCATGCGGTTTATCATTGCTCCACTGGCGGCAGCAGCAACGGTACCGGTTTCGGTGATCTCCACGATGGCTTCGTGGAGGAATTCGCTGATCCAAATTGGCTTCTTACTTGTCAGTCCACTGAAATCAGATGTCGTGGGGGAGAATATGCTGTTGATGCCAAGTTGTTTCAAGCTAGAAACCATGTTGGCCTTCATGTTCAAACGCATTCTAGGAAGATAGAGGGAGACCGTGGTTTTCTTCATTTTTGAGATTAGCTCTCTTATTGCGTTGGGGTCAAGCTGTCTCTCAAGTACCTGGATAGACTTGACTCGCGGAGATTCTCTGGGCAAGATGATTATCATTGAAAGTTCTCCACCAACGTACGGGATGGCAGTGATATCGAGATTGAATTCAGGGCTAAAATAGTAGTCGGTATCAAATGTATTGCTCATCATAGGAACGCTGATGTTCTTCACACCCGTGTCAAATGCGCCTTCCATCGTGAAGTCTACTGGAAATGGAGTTTCCCAGGCGCCGTTGAAATAAATGGTATTGGCTGCCACAAATGTGGTGTCTGGGCTGAAAGGCGACGATATGAAGTCTCTTATTTTACCTTGCGTTGCATCCTCCACCCACTGGTTGACGCGAGTCTGGGTTTGGACGGGCCGTTCACGGAAGTTTTCTAAGCTTACGGTGCAGTTGTAATGTTCACCAGCCTGCGATACAAAAGTTTCACTGACAGGGGTGGTTTCTTCCAAGAAAAGACGACTAGCAGTGTTTATTATTATATCATTTGTATCGTAGTTAAGTCTTCGCAAGATATCTTCGTACTGAGAGTGGTACGTGGTAGAGCTATCGGAGTTTGATAAGCCCAAGGCCTTTACAATTTCTTGAGATGTAACTCCTTTCGTTCCAAGAGTTAGCAGAGATAAAAGGCTGGCAACACTGAACGGAGAAAAAACCACATTATCACTAATGCTCAAATTTCGAAAAGTTAAAATTAGATCTTGAGTGAACTCTTGAATTCCATGTGTCACCGAATAGACGTTGGGTGTTGCTTGGCCAAATCTATCTTGCCCGTCACCATGTGAGTTCTGGTCAGGTTCGAAATGCGTGGGTCGGTTGTTAGATGTCGGTCCCTGAGGAACAAATGCAATCGGTCCAGGGAAGCCATTCCCGGATTGTGTTGCTCGATCATGGTCATCAAATCCGTTTTGATTGGGAGCCTTAGGACCAAACGGTCGGGAATTCCTATTAGTTGGATCTACCTCGTCAAAATTCTCTACCACGTAAGGTTTATCCTGAGGTTTGTAGTCTTTAGGAGGAATTGCTCCACCCGAGGCAATCGGGATAGCCGACCCACCAGAGGCACGAGGCGGGACCTGAGGAGCGGGCGCACTGCCTTGGCCATGCGAAGGATCAACAGCCACAATCGGGAAAAGGTTGGTGTTGGATTTATCAGAGGAAGAACTTGATCCACGATTAGAGTCGTGTGCGTTGTTACCTGGTATTTGACTACCAGAACTCGAAGAAATGGGATAATATTGTGTGTTGCCGACATTGGGTTTGTATGGCTGGTAGTTGTTCGTATTTATCGGTCGGACCGCGGGAGAGAAATTGGTATCGACAGTAGGTTGACCAACCGGTCGACTGATTCCGGAAGTTACTACGCTATATCCTGACTGGTACACTAGACTTCCTCCATCAATAGAGGGAAAAATGCCAGGAGGACGAACAGGTCGCAAGACACTGGACGAAAGAGTAGTTAGTACATAGGGAATATGCAGCACAGCGTCAGTGACTCTGCGTACTTTATTTTCCACTGTGTCCAAAAAAATCCCAGGTAGATCATCCTGGTTTGATGGTGTTGGCATGTCAGGAGTTGGTCTGCCATCTTGGCGGTTCAGAAATGGGCCAAATGAGCTTGATAAAGTTTTGTCTATGTCGCCTTCTATCGACGGCGGTCTTTCGCGCGCAGGCACGAGTCCGAATTTATTTCTTACTCCTCCCCGAATTTGAGATCGAATACCCGCCATGATAACCGGATTCGCAGGAGGCCTCCGGTTCGAGTGGGAAGCTTCTACGTATACTTCTTCAGACGACGCAGCATCGCCGCTGTCAGCGCAAGCATTCGATGCAGAGATGATGGAGAAGAGCAGCACAAAGCTTGTCATTCTTCGATAAAAGTTGCACCCTGCCATCGTTCCTGAAAAAAGATATTTGAATAAGTTTTTTCGTCGTGACTTACATTAAATGACACTCTACATGATAACATGATATCTTCCGTTACAAGTTTACTGCCTTGCAATATTTATATATTATTCGCATGATATGTAATTATGTTGATAATATTTTAGTATGAAAAAGTATTAACATTGTTTAATATGACGGATTATCCATTTTCTGCAAAGGAAACAAATTTTTGCAACAGAAATCATTCATCTTCCCGCACATGTGACAACTAGGCTGTGATGTGAAAACTGTGTTATATTGCCGCGTTCTTATTTTCATTGAGAATTAGCGTTGACGAATAATTTTGCAATGTTTCAAGCAATACAAAGAGTGTTTATTTGCATTATTATATATGTGCAGTCATGAAATATGACTAAGATTTATGGAAGTTAACATCGATGAATACATCCATATTATCGTTGCTCATAGCAATAAACAAATTATTTTAAAATTAAACTATACATATTAAATTGAATTATAAATTATTTATATAATGAGGATAAAAAATTATGAAATATTATCGTATAAATGAATTATTCGTGTACGTCTAAGTGCATGCAAGTGAAACACAATTTGATACCGCGCAAAAACAGCATGTGAATGTCCCAATAACAGCATTGTCTTGCAGGATTGCGAACAGTCACGAAATTGTCATGACAGCAACATCTGATTATGCAATAACAGCGTGTGAAAGTCAAATTGTCTTCATGAAATTGTGAACAGTCACGACATGGCATAAAGGTCACAGATATGCGGTAGGTGTTTCTCGTCTCAACAGCAAATGCACCACAGTAATATTATTATTGTGTGATGCATTTGCCAAGCAATTTTACGAAGTATATAACAGTGCACGTTCGAGATGCACACCGATATACTGAATATTTAGCACAGAATATACGAATGCACAGTTTATACACAACATCGCCATCACTGTTCATTTATCCACGCATCAGCTTAACATAGATTGAAAAAACTTCACCACACTGAACTGTTTCACAATACAACAAGATTTGTATTCCAATCAGTGAAACACCAGTTCAACTTTAGGGCGCCACTTATCTTCATTTTTTTGTGTTCAACTCATAAACAAACACATCCCAGTCAAAAATGCAGGCCCTGGCGTGCGTTTTAGGCCATGGCTGGCGACTAGAGGCGCTGCGCGGTAGATTGGCCCTTTCCCCCAAATTTCGTCCTGCTCGCGCCGCCCGTCGTGAAGCGATTCACGGGCCACACCGCGGTTATCGGCGATTATTCGCTTGGTGCTTTAGGGCCGTATACTTGCCACGCACTACTACGACAAGCCACTTGCCACGCACCACCATATTTTGCTTATTATATAAACGATCTTGCTCCTGCAGGTACGTATGTAAGTACATAATTGCTTTCTTGCATACGCTAACATTCACAAAGTTTGAAGAGAAAGTAGTTTCATTTAGCATCTATGCTCTAATACAGCTTATGTACATATGCTCAAGACATGGAGAGGTAAATGCCGAATGTAAATTCGACAAGATTGGAGTAAATTCAATTGTTGGCACCCTAGCTGAACGGAGCTTTGCAGTATTTGCCAACGAGCCATATGTATATATGCAGATCTCAGTCACCTAGAATCTGTCCTACACTTGGGTTAGGCTGCTCCATCGCTCATGACTGAATGCAGTCGTGAAGTTCTCTCGCTCTTCGTTAGTTTAATGACGATCTTTTTGCCATCTCTCTTTAGAGGAACCTGCCATACAAAAATATCTGATGTCCGTACGCTTAGTAATTGTTAACGATGAAGGCTCGGTCGACGAATTGTTATAGCTTTTACAGCTATAGTAGTATCTCATTGATTGATAAATAATAGGAATAGAGAACGATCACCGCAGGTTTTATGTTTTCGATAACAGAAATAACACGTACGACTATCGCTGCCAATGCAATAGAATAGAATAGAAGTGTCGGCGTTGAAGAAATAGGCCCATGGCCTGTTGCCGATTCTTGAACTTTTCGTGACTTGATTCACAAGGGATCCGGCCTTTGGAACCCGATCTTTCCATAACTGACGATTGATTGAGATAGCTGCTGGACTTATT